TTTACACACGTGCGTGAAACAATTAATGAACATGTACTTATTATTAATTATCATTACTGTTGGGAAAAGTCGTAAAATGAAAGAAAGAAACAAACAAATTAATTATCATTCAGAATCAATCAACACACATTTGTGCAGTATTAAAGTCATGCTCAAATAGAAATTAAGACGGAAACGTACGTCACATCTTCGAGAAACTTCGGAGTATTTCGCAACTTTCCATGTCTTACAGCGATCAAATAAGCGTGTAACATTAAATCTTTGTCAACTCGTTAAAAAAACGTTATTCAGATAAGTATACGATAAGGACTGTGACGAAATTAGCCGGAAATAAACGAGTTACCGATAAATATATTCATTCATTTATGAAATAAACTAAATCTTTTTCGCTATACTCTATATGCTATAATGTAAAATGAAATAAAACATTGGTGCTATCAAAACCATAAAGACATAATATTTTATTTATAAAAGTCAAAAATGTAAATAAAGACAAAAATTGTGAAACTGAAAAATGCACTCTTCTACAACTGTTCGTGTTGACGACGGCATTCTTGGAACAAACTGCCGGCAAAAATCTGCCCCGGTATAATGACGTCAGAAATTCACTCAGTTCGGGTTTACACTCGGCCGTTTCGTTGATATGAAAACAATTTCGGGTATTTTGAAGAACTCTGGAAAGAACAAAAATGTAATCGTTATTTGTAAATTTGTTCAAAAGCACGCTTTTAGACAACTTTTTTCATGAATAAAGCCTTAGCAATATTATTGATAGCAGTTTTTTTTATAAGATAACATTATTTTATAACGTAATCTCCTACACATTCAGGGAAAGAACATACAACATGCATAAGTTAGAGATTTCTGCAGTGGCGTTTATCAATCATTTGAGGGAAGATAAAATATCGTGATAAATGTCCTTTCTTAAAAGCATCCACAGCGCACTTATAAACGCGTGACAATCGTACGGTGCGATTACTAAGATCAATGGATTATGGCTGAGACTGTTAATCCCACATAAGTGTCTAAATATGTAACCTTCCTTTAATTAAGAAAAATCGAATTCTATGGTGGCTGAGTTGTGCCATGTCGTATTTGCGCTCTCCAGGACGTCGGACGCCAACACAAAAATACGACAAAGTCGACATTTGGTCGTATTTTCGTGTTTTTGTCTTGCGCCCCGCGGCACGAAAATACGATATGGCAAAAATCAGCCACCATAGAATTCCATAAAGAATATGTAATAACTGTTCTCTGAGTCAAATTGGAAATGAATATCACTTTTTTTGTTTTCATCTTCACACTCTACTGATCTTAGACACAATGTCTAACATTATTACTGTTCATGAGTTCACAAATTTGTTGTTAACTGAATCTTAAAGTCCTTTTGTATTTTTCGCATTTAATTAGGAAGAAACTGTTAGCTAGTTTCATTCCTGGATAATTAGGATCTCATTTATATGAATATATTTTATTCAGAATAGCATTTTATGCTCTTAATTCTGTCTTTATGTTCTATATGCTTTAAACATATATTCTATCTGCTAGAAATTTGAAATCTTTTAATCTGGACAAAACTATTTTAAAAAGTACCGACTGAGAAGCAAATGTACAGGCCATGATCAGACGTCACGGATGCGCTAGCTGATTTTTGTCTGCACTCGCGGCACATAGGTGGAACCTGTTATCGACAATAGGCTAAGGGAAATGCAATATAACAATTTATTTATTATTATCTTTATTTGTTTATTTATTTTTATATACTTTTTCAATATTATTATGATTCAAAAATATTAAATAAATATTTGTATGATAATGACATAAATCTGGCTCCGAACATTATGAGATAACGCATTTAACATTATATTGATTAATCTATTAAATCAAAGCTTGATGTTGCAATAATTGAATTTTCCTGATGTATAGCAGTAAAAGTTCTTTGGCAATTTTAGACATTTTAATTTTAAAACAAGAAAAGATCTTTAAAGATAATCAAAAGGTTGTTTTTTAATTTTGTATGTGAGACATCTTTCTGGTAAATAGTTATATTCGTCCTACATGCACTTTATATTTTAACATTATTCGGCATTGTTCTGAGAAAATCATAAAAAAAAATCATATGAACGTATGGTAATTTTACATCATCTATAAGCTTATTTTACAGTTATTTCTCTCAGTGTGGTTTGCTTTAAGTCATGACAAAATGCCGATAACCTTTGGCGCAAAAATTCAGTAATACATTTAACTGCTTTGTTTTGTCTTGTAAATATATAGGCCACTATGTATTTTTGAACTAAAATATTATATATTTTTTAACATTTTAATATGCATTACGTATAAAGGTAAATATGCATTATTTCTAAAATAAAATTCAGTAGCGTTACTAACGATTTTACCTTAACTTCAAAAAAAAAAAAAAATAAATAAATAAAAAAAATTGAAATTTGAAAAAAACAAAACAAAAACAAAGAGTATATGGACACCTTATTCAATTGAAATTGTTATGATGACAATGAATTAACTTACGTGCACATATCTGAAAGTGGTATTTCAGACCTGTTTAAATAGATGTGATATTTTAAATCCTGAATATCAGTGTTGTACTGTCCTATACATGTCTGTAGTGTGTCTATCATTTCACAATGCGTCTCTGCAGCATAAAATACTGAAAACATTAAAAAGAATATCCATCGAGATTTAAGAGCTCAATTGAGGTCAAACAGCATAAAACATAAAATTTGAAATTCTTACATGGATCATGCGAAGGACTTAAATTGGCAAAATATCCGAAGGATAAAAAAGAAATGGACTCAAATTTAAATTGAATATCGATTTTTTGTGTGTGTGGTCCTTAGCCCAATTTGAGTTAAAAGCGTTGCGGCGATTTTCATATTTTAAGTCATTTTGCACAATAAAATTTATTATTATTGCAAAACAGGGCAAAGGAATGAAATTTGCTCACAAGTTACTACTCCAGACCTAGATCAAATGGTACAAAAATCTCTGAAAAATATTTCCAGTCCCATCATGTAAAAAAAACCCAACCCCTCAGTGGTATCTCTTTAAGCTTCTTTATTCATCAATATCCAAAGTGTGGAATGAAAACATTAAATTATTAAAGTGTTTAGTATCATCCAGTTATACGTGCTTTACTACTGACCTTCTTGAAACTTTAATACAAAATTTATCTGATCTATACTGAGGTAAAAAAAGCAAAAGCAATAAATATAAAATTCTTGCATAGACTAAATGGTATTTTATATTTTGAAGAAATGTATTAAGAGTTAATCTTGCATGATTTCAGTCCGGTTTGATTCGTCCTTTTTAGGGTCATTTTGCACAATAAAAATAATTATTCTGGAATAACAGAAAGAATAATGATCTGGAATTTTGCACACGAACCTTTATTTCATCAAATTGCCTAAACATTCGAAAAAAAAGAAGAAGGAGGAAAAAAAAAAAAGATTTCCAGTCCCTTTATGTAAAAAAACTAACTCCCTTTAAACACGAACACTTTCCATTTTTATTATTTTTCGGTGTTTGGGGATTGGGTTGGTGGTGGAGGCTGTCTTCGCACCGCCTTTACAAAAAAATAGACAACAGCCCAAAAGGGACCGGAACACTATATTATCCACCATAAACAATTTTATAACATTATACATATATATAATTATTACAATAAATAAACATTTGTCATTCACACAGTTCTTTTATGTTGTTAAATTTTGTTCATATCCGACAAGTCTATTAAGTCACAGACATAATTAATATCTGTTTGTTATTAATGATGTATTTTATCGTCTGCGTTTATCTTTTATTTATTTATTGAATTATATTTACAATGCTATAAACTGAGTCGTCTGTCTGAATCAGTATTGTTATAATTGGCTTTGAAATTATCTTTCTCTTAGCGTAGCAGAATCATTTTTGTATTCGACCAGGTTATTATTTGTCTGCTCATTTGTTCTTTCGTTTGTTCATTCGTTTGTTCATTTGATTTTTTACGTACTGCGCTGTTTTGTATATTTGTCTATTTGTGGGGTATTTCATCCTCTTTTTATCTCCTTCGTTTGTACCTTCCTTCCTTCCTTCCTTCCTTCCTTCCTTCCTTCCTTCATTCCTTCTTTCCTTCCTTCCTTTGCTTCCTTCCTTCATTTATTTTTTTATTTATTTATTAGTTTTTTTATTCGTGTGTTTCTTTTCTTTGTACTCCATTTGTTTTAGTTCATCTGTTCATTAATTAATTAATGAATTAATATCCTTCCTTCCTTCCTTCCTTTCTTCCTTCCTTCCTTCCTTCCTTCCTATCCTTCCTTCCTTCCTTCCTTCCTTCCTTCATGCATGCATTCATTCATTTGTTTATTCACTTACTGCAGTATTACTAATTTACTAATTTATGATAAATTATGCTTTACAGAATTTTTAAACATCGCCCAACTGTAAACAGGCGGCATTGAAGCTGCAAGCCTCCAAATGAGCCAACATATTTCAAGTAAATAAAACAACTTGAAAAAAATGTACTAAGATTAAAAATAAAAGTAAACAGATTCAAGATTCATCCGTCTGTTAAGGAAGTACAGACCCCGGAATTGTCACCAGTCATGTCCTTAATTTTAATTTCAAATTTGAAGCACAAAGGGGTGATAATTTATCACCATGCAATTTCCGCAGAGTATTTGCCAAAGATATGAAATTTATGCCAAATGTAAGTCACTGTACGGCGGCCAATCTAAATGTACAGTAACCCGAGACAATATGAAAAGGAGTTAGCCCTGAAAAGGTGTTATTTCAGCAAAGGGCATGTCCTTCGTACCGTTACACTCTGTCCTAGAGGCTCACGTACACTAGCACACTTTCCTCGTCATCCATGCCTACTTTGAAGAGTCACTCGCCGCGGCTTTTGCCAGGACACAAGCAGCTAATTAAATACATTTTTAAATTTTCTATGAATATAAACATGAATCTGGAGGCATGCTGCTTTATGATGTGAAGTAACTTACGGTTTCTATGATTACAAATTTTGTTGATTGTATTGCTGTATGAGCTAAAATCAAAATATGGATCACCACATGTCGTCATCGCATCTTCTAAACATGATGTCAAGTTAACAATATTTCTGAAAGTAAAATAAAAATAAAGAACGCATAATGATGATTAATATTTAAATACAAAACAGGATATTACCTGGTTGAATTTGTTTATCAAAATTGATAATAAAAATAGACATAAAAAAGTGGATAAGGACATTGACTTATGACCTCTCGCATCTTCCTTATGAGAGTTCGAGTTCAGCAAAGGGTGTTTTGATTAAATCTTATTTACTTTCCTGCTTCGAATTTGCACTTTGGGGAAAATAATCAAACGACCTTGACCTTTAACCCTTAAAGAATCAAGTAAACGTTCAGTATCTTACCGGCATAAGTCGTACATGCTGTGTGTAAACAGGGTCAAATGTGCTGGCTGAGGAAGTCCAAACCTAAAGGCTTCTGTGAGATTGTAATGCGCAAAGCAAGCGTTCTCTTTCTGACCAATCACCTTTGAGCTACAAGAATCATCTGTGAACGCTGTGACAGAGGTAAAACACGTTGCAATGACAACCACTGAAAAATAAAAGGTATGCTCGATTTTTTTTATCAAGTTAATTATTTTAATTTGGTATAAACCCACTGTTCGACCTTTATGAAAAAACAACGTCTACGCAAGAAGATAATATACTTGTTTCGAATTAAAAAAATATCATGATTTAATTAACATAACGCACTTTTAATTGAAACAAATATTAGAGTTTAAGAATTATTTAGATTATTTTTATTATATTACAGCCAAAAAGAAAAAGGAATGACCTCCAATAATTATAAAAATAGGTCATTCCCATTTTTATATATATATTTCGAGCTCTGTAAATTTCTTTTTTTGAAAATTGGGTCTTTTTAGCAAAAATTAAATTTTTTCCCCTTTAAAACCCTTTAAAACAAAATTCTATTTTTTTAAAGCTGATAAACAATAAACAAACATAAAAAAAAATTTAAACGATCTAAATTTGGAAAAAAATTTTTATCATAACCACTAAAAAATTTTAAAGGAACTTTTCCATTAAAAAATTTTTATTTTCCTTCAGTTTCCCCCAAATTTTTCTCATTTCGTGAATTTCTCGGGCATAAGACTTATTAATTTTCTGTATACAAGTATCAGATAACCACTCTACACAGAACACTAGTGTAAATTTGTCATTTATACCGAAGAAACAGTATTGAATCAACAAAGAATCATTATTAAACGGTAGATTTTAAGATTTCCCTGTGATTTCTTTGTCTTAGTATTGGTACATTAGATTAAGACGGTTCCGTGAGAAAACGAGTTCGTGCTATTTTATAATAAATAACAATAATATGTCAAATACAAACATTTGGGAGCTTGTTTCGACAGGAAACCTTTCATATGGAAATTGCTCCTGAAAAATACATGGCATTTGATAGATAGAACTTGATACTTCCAAATTATCTTGTCACTCACGGGTGAATAAAACCCACAACCAGTTTTGTTTTTCTTTTTAGATTTATGTCTCATAAGATATATGTCTAATAAGATTTATGTCTAAAAAGATTTATATTTTACAATATTATTGTCTGGTTAGAGATATGCCTATGTTAATATTTATGTCTAATTAACTCTATGTCTGGTAAGATTCATGTTTAATAAGATTTATGTGTGATAAAGTATATGTCTAATAAAAATTTATGTCTGATAAAATATCTGTCTCATAGAAGTTATGTCTGATAAAATAAATGTTCGACCATAAGCTGATAAATAACTTATGAGGTGAGATAAACAAAGCTTTCTTAGCCAGTTTACGTAAGTTTTAATAAATAAAATCAATGTATATAACAAATTATTAAATTATTCAAAATCAAAGCAGTTCTACAGATAATTTTAACAGGGGTGACGTCACAACTGGTACGAATTTCACGCACTATTGAATAACTATTGGCATGAATCAGATCAGATTTTAAACATATTGACATAATATCAATCACAGAACTCTGCATAAATATGAAAGTGGTCGTTGTGGCGCCTTTATATGACGCAACGACGCTAAATGTCACCCTTGCCGGCTTATTGTCGCACTATTGCCGCTAAATGTCGCAAAAGGTAATCTTATTCGGTATTATAAATTGACGACCACAATTCATGCCAAAGAGGTCCTAATTGATAAAACACATTTGTATATGTTTTTTATAACAACCCAAATGTCGTGATTTCGAGCTACGACATTTTTTTTATTCGTATTTATACCTTTATACAGTATCCACCATTGTGGCTTTAAACTATTCATTTTGTATTTTTTTCTGATGACAGAAAAACATGTTAAGTAGTTAACATGTTTCGTATGTAAATAATCTGTTATGCCACTTAATGTTGAGATCATAAACGTAGGGGTCATTCGTTTTGTTTTCATGCAATGTGCAATAGTATTGAATTGATGTTGATTTGAAATAAGGTTTACTTTTGTCCCAAACTTCGATAAAAATTTTTCGCATTGATAATTTTTTTCATCTTGGAAAAATTATAAAAAATTTGAAATTTTTATTTAAAGGCATTTTTGCTAAAATTTAAACATAACATAAAGGGCAAAATTAAAAACTAAAAATGTTTAATTTTTTTTTTTTAAATTTTAAATTTTAGCTTAAAAAAAAAACCCAAAATTTAATGTACACCCTGACTTTTGGAACAACACTGAAACCTTCAGACCGAGGGGGCCCAAAAAATGATTTTACCAGTATATAGATACATGTATGTCAGGCTGCACATCTGTGCAGACTGAACCGGTTCGTACTTATGGCTGACTTACATTAGAAATATCTGCCTTTATATTCCCGGATTGATAGACAGTTTTAAAAAACGAAAGCTTGAAAAGTGCATTTTGCAAATTCAGTAGGTAAGGTACTTGCTAATAAGAGTTGCAAATATGAAAAGTCTAACCAGTGTCAGAATTGTCGGCTGCTCAAATTAAATATTTTTTCTTGCAACCCACCACATTATCTTTTTTTATTACAGAAGACGAATATATAAATTGAAGGTGCACTTTGGCAAAAATGCCAACAGATACGTATTTGAAAACAAAGTCTGAAATACATAATATTTAATTAAAATGTTTATGTTTTGCAAAATTAAAACAATTCCGTAAAATGCATAGAATGAAAAGTAGAACTGAAAATTTTCCATGAAATCAATTATGACTTTTTTTAAAAATTTCATAACGGACTAAAAAGGGCGTAAACTGATACCCAGTTTGGTTTGCGTTACTATTGTTGTATATAAAACAATTAAAGACACAACTCTAAAATAAACCCGTAAGGTAATGGCATACATTTAAAAGCTCCTCTTTATTGTATAAAATGACGGACAACAGGACAAGAATTTGTCCCTATCTCGTAAGAGAAAGGGAATCATGTGATGCGTGTGGGCGCACTGTTACTTTCCTTACATGTCATCGATGTATGTGGTCGCATGCTCGAAAATCTCTATAAAAAACGACAACGTTTTCTTGTATGAAACCATCTGGAGCAAAGTCATTAAGATCTAAAAACATTTTTAAAACCGTAAAAAAAGAAGTTTCATTACCACTTTATTACTTCTTTCCAGGAGTTTTGAAAGGCTAATAAGGACTTTTTCATTTATAATAAGGAGTATAATAAGGACTCTCATTTTCCTTAATATGAGAGATAAAATATCTTTTTACAATTAATGTCTGAAAACTAATTAGGACTATACATATCCTCGGTAGAAGTTTAAAAACCTATTAGGAAAAATGACCATATTAGTTCTAAGTATAAAAGAATAGAAAGTACAAATTAGGTTTTTATTTTATATTTAGGCTTTTCAAGCTGCTTCCAATTAAGATTTTATGCTTCAATTCCTAATAATATCTTTATTTCTCCTAATTAAGCTTTTAAAATTTTATAGTTACAAAGTTGTTATTACTAACAGGTTTAATTTCCCTAAAACTTAAAATTCTTATTTGGTTGAACCTGGTAGTACAAAATCCTAAAGTGGCTATTAACACTCTTTATTACAATTTCAAAAGATTTTTTATGAACATTCAGATTTTGCACCAGGCGAAAAAAAAACATAGAACCTTTGAAAACATTTTCATATTAGTAGCAAGTTTCGACCATGCGACCACATACATGCATCGAGGACTCCCATTCTCATACGAGAAAGGGACAAAGAGTTGTCCGCCCTTTCAAAAGGGCAGACGTTAAAAATTTTTTTTTTGTTTTTCATAAATTTATTCATGATATTTACAGATAAAAATCCTACTGTAAAGCAGTAGGACCCGGTTTTTAAAAGAGAAACTTAACAAATATATACATATAAGTGAAATCTAATTACAAATGATTGTCTTTACATACATGATAAGTATCCGCAATTCCACGCAAAGCGAGTCATTGCGGATACCAAACATGGATGGGATACCTAACACAAAATATTATAAACACATGCCTCATTCAAAATATGAAAATAGTGAAACTTTGGTATTTATAATGTCTGTATTGTTTCATAATGTCTCAATATACTGTATTAAAATCCAAATTAAATCAATAAAACATATGTATTTTGTGGAAACAACAGAGAGAAACCGGGTTTACAATATATGTTAGTAATAAATGATAAAAGATAAAGCTTGTATTTGCTCTGTATTTATAAATTTTAGAATAAATTTTGATCACGTTTTAATTAAACTAGCGAAATCAAATTTAGATATTGTTTAAAATAGAAAGAAAGTAAAAAAGCTATTTTGAAATAAACACAAAGACAAGTAACCTCCAGATCGCGCAACCCCAAAAATCCGGGTGGGAAAAGTCCGAACTCTCGGGGTGGCGCGAAATAGGCCCAACCTTGTGCCACCTATTACAGGTGTTAGACTCAGACGGGCTTCTGCGAATGACACACCCAGCTGACTGTCCCAAAGCCAGCCAACCCGGAGTATCACCGCCGAACCCCGTCTGACAAACGTGATATACAAAACGTAGGTTATTTTGAAACTTCAAAGAAAACTTAGCTTTGTCTTTAAAAAGAAAGGTTAGCCGAAAAAATATGATCCCAAAGCCACCA